AAAAGAATAATTGTGCTCCATTCCATAACAAATGCGCGAAACAAGCTGACGTTTGTTGCTTGATAGACACTAACGCACAACTACAACTACCACATTTGTCCAGGACTACACGTAGTACGAGCGGAAACCGAGGTAAGCGGATATGATGCGATTGACTGGCGACTCCCAGCTCACCCCTGCTCATACGCCCCGTTTCCTTGGTTAAAATCTCAATTTTCTCGCGATTTAAACATTGTTTGAAACATTTGGAATATTGTAAGTTATCATCTTAACTAAATATATAACACTGGCCTTGTGATTTTGGTATATTTTAATGCGAAAATCTTAGGTATTCCACCTTTAAGGAAGTGTTTTTCACTTTTATTTTCTTTAAAACAATCATAATAGCAAAAAAGTATATGAAACATAAAAGGAAAGGTAAAGGACACAAGTGCAACACGTTCGTATGTGCACATCCCATGAAGCCTTGCACAGTGCAATATTTACTTAGTCATTGATTCAATCTATATATATTTTTTTTTCAAAATATCCATTATTAATATAATTTTACGTGATATTCTATAAAAGTATTTAACTAGCAGTGATAACCACTGAATCAAAATGGGCAAATCTAGACTAAACTTATCCAATGATCCTGCACTGTCCCTTTAAGAAAAATATAATGAAAAAAATCCTCTCTCTCTCTCTCTCTCTCTCTCTCTCTCTTTCTCTCTCTCTCTCTCTCTCGACCCGCCAAGTGTGTGTGTGTGTGACAAAATGATCTGTCTCTCCGCAATAAGGTGATATGGGGGCTAAACCCCTGAGATCGTTTATGTGGATCTACAGGAGAAATGAAAGATGCAGGTTATTATAAAGTCATTGGTGCATGTGAGATCAAGTAAAGACACAACGCGTATGTCCCTTTTACACACACACACACACACACACACACTGACACACTTTTCTCCACACACTCTCTCTTACACACACACACACACACACACACACACACACACACACACAGAGAGAGAGAGAGAGAGAGATAAGCACCAACAATGTGACAGTCCTCATTATCAGATACCACAGATGACATTTTAACATTGTGACACTCATTAAATAGCCGTTCTCGTCGAGTTCTCACACAGGGCAAAAGACAGCGTGTCCCCATAGGGACAACATGACATCCACCTTCTCTCTTACACAACCTTTTTTCTCTCTCTCTCTTACATACACACATACGCACACACACACACACACATACACACACACCTTCTCTCTCCTCTACCCACAGAGACTCTTGATAGTCAGATCAATTAATTAATCAAGCTGTCAGGGCTTTTAATTGCTTCATTGTGGCGCTCAAATCACACATATGACCGACGCTGATCTGCAACAAGCCCTGGAGCATGAATTTTTGAAAACATTTGACTTCTTGTTTAACATGTTTTACTTGTAGAATACTTGTAGAATTAAATGGATAGCTATTTCATCATTTTCTGTGCTGATTTCTGTGGTATGCATCAGAATTGGATTTAAACGTGAGATATAACATAATTTAACATTATTAACTTTTCAGGGTCTAGAACAGGTTTAAATGTTGATTTTTCTCCTCATATTCTCCATTGTTGTGGCTTCTCATTTCTTAGTCTGTCAGTAACAGTGTTGGGAGTAACGCATTACAAAAGTAATACATTACAGTAACATATTACTTTTTGCTGTAACGCAGTAGTGTAAGGCATTACTAATCAATTTTCAGTAATATTTTACTCGTTACATGTTCAGTGAGGCTTGTATTACAGTTGTATTACAGTGTATTGTCTGCTTTTACTTCTTAAAGGCAACAGACTATGTGAAAGTTTTAAAGCAGTCTTTTAGTGCCAGTTCAGAGCGGTCGCGTCTGTAACATTGTTTTTTCCTCATAAATGCGAACACGAAAACTAAAATAAAATGAATATTTTAAGTTCTATGGAGACTGGAGAGCCAACCCTTCCTCATCCGATTTGCGCAGTGTAATTAACAGAATTACAAAAAATATATTTTGCCTCCTATTTTTTTGTCACGCATGAATGTGTGTCTTTTCCCTAATATTAAAAATAAAACATAGACTGATATTTGTCTAATGTCTGGAGTCCTTTAAGGAAGTAGCCTATATACGTTTCAATACATGTATTTTCTGAGAATTTTTATTTCAAGTTTTGACTGCAAATGTCATGTCCATAATGCTGGACTTCCCCAATTTTAAATAATTTATCCTCAACTAGTTTTGTGGTGTAGGTCCACGTATTTTATAATGTTAACTTCAAATAATACTAATAGCCTAATTTAAAGATAAGGCAGCATTGGATATGGACGGTAAGGAGAATAACGCTGAAGTTGGAAGAGGTGTGTCGCGATTCTGTAGGTTCGTGGATCTGAGTCGTGTGGCGAATCGCGATTTCGGTTTCATATTGCATATTGTTACAGGCCAAAAGTTAAGTTCTGCTTAGTTATTTTGGTGAAAGTAACTCAAAAGTAATAGATGAGTAATGTAATGCATTACAATTCTGGGACAGTAATATAAGGTAATGAATTACTTTTAAATAACAGTAACAAGTAATACCTAATGTATTACAGTTTGGAAGTAACTTGCACAACACTGGTCAGTAACGCTCTCTAAAGTCTCTAAAAGCACCCTGTGAAACATAACGAAAATGTGATATGGTAACATTTTATGAATGGCAGGTGTTGCAATTATCCGGAAATCTGGCGAGCTCAGAATCCATGTTGGCCTTTTTGCATTTTGTAAATGAATCCGTGCAGCATCCATCTCTGTATGTTTATTTTTATTATTATTTTTTTATTATTATGTGTGAGGCTGTGAGCACATCTGAGTTTCATTACATGAAACCCCAAAGCACATTATTTCAAAAGTTCACATTCAGTCTATATTATGTATCCCAGCCAATTTAAAGATGAGCCCTCTCATAACGAATATTGAGTGAATAAACATTAGTAGATTCATCGCCAGTCCTTCAGAGAGTCAGATTTTTGACATTTACTACATCAGAACATCTTGCACTTTTAATTAGCCTTTTATATGAGATGGCATGCGGCTCGTCTGTCATTGCTGTAGAAACACAAAGTTCACATGATGTTTGCTAACAGGAATCATTCTAGAGTTAATGCACATAATCAACGGTTTCCTTTTTGCAATTTTGAAGCCTAATTGAATGCATGTGAAAAATCTCCACGGGATTCGCTTTCCAAACGTTTGAGACATTAGTCGGGTGCCGTGATGTGGACAGTTTTTTAAAAAAAAAACTTGCTTTTATCTCCAAAACTTTGTCAGAACTTTCAGCTATTTACATTTCTCAAATAATAGGCCAACTATTATAGTTCATTGTTATTTAAATACATAAAGGACAATTGGTCATAAGTTGAGGGAACTTTCCTTTTATAGTTCAGAAACGCACATATGGAAAACTAGAATCTATTTTGTTTAGGGTTCAGGAAAGTTAGCTACTGTATACTTAAAGTAATCCATTGTTATGAAAGTTATGCTTTGCTACCAAAAGTTGATGGATGTTTTTTGGGGTTTTGCTCATTCCTACATGGATTTTATCTGCAACAAAGTTAGACTGACTCTGAGAAGGACTAATTGAAGTAACAAAGTTATTTAAAACCAATGAAGGCGCAGCAGACAAACTCATTTTCAAGTTTTTTAGATTTTAGTATAAATATGTTAGGTTATGAATAAGCTGGTGTTCCAAAACATTGACAAAATTTGCATTTGGGAGATTTAAGCATTCAAAGCTTACATTCTCTGACTCCCGCTGAACAATGTGTAGGAATTTTTCTCATCTAGCGGTGAAATTGTATTTTGCATTGAAACGAAGACCTCCAGCGCATCGCTTTTTCAAACGCGTGCTGTAGCCGTTATGAACCCAAAAGCTATACCATGTCTTCTAATAGCACTTTTTCCTTTGGGGTCCTAGTTAGAACACAAGTTTTTATGTTTCTATTGGTCATCATGCCTCAGCTCCTGTGTCCTTAACATGCGGTGTCCCTCAGGGTTCAATCCTTGGCCCTCTTTTGTTTAATTTGTACATGCTCCCACTTGGCCAAATTATGAAATATTATTCTATTAGTTACCACAGCTACGCAGATGACACACAGATATACCTGTCCTTGTCTCCCAACGACTTTGCTCCCGTTGAATCTCTTTATCTTTGTCTTAATCAAGTTCAAGACTATATGTCAAAAAATCTTCAAAAATTGAAGACAGACAAAACTGAAGTAATTATCTTTGGGAAATAGGATCAGAGACTAAAGATTGCCACACTATTGGGAATGGAAGGTTTTGAGGTAGTGGAAACCGTGAAGAACCTTGGGGTCAATATTGACAGTGACCTAAGCTTCAATAGCCACATGAAGGCAGTCACAAAATCGTCTTTTTATCACTTAAAAAACATTGCAAAGAAAAACTTCATATAACCGGTAGACTCAGAAAAGCTTATTCATGCTTTCATCTCAAGTAGGGTGGATTATTGTAATGGTCCTTTTACTGGTCTCCCTAAATAAACAATAAAACCTCTTCAAATTATCCAAAATGCAGCAGCAAGGCTACTGACCAGAACCAAAAGATAAGATCATATCACACCAATTTTAAAATCTCTACACTGGTTACCAGTGATTTTAAAGTTATTTTTCTTGTTTTTAAACCACTAAATGGTCAAGGACCTCTCTATATAGCAGAGATGCTTGAAACATATAGCCATATTGAAACATATAGATCTGCTGGAAAACTCCAACAATCACTCGTAAGCACTCGTACCAAGCCGGAAGAGGCAGCCTTTAGCAGCTATGCGGTCCGTCTTTGGAACCGTCTTCCTGTAGACATTAAGACCTCTCCCACTATCTCTATTTTTAAACCCAGATAAAAAACAAAACTCTTCTACAATGCCTTCTACTAACCCTTCCCCACCTTTTTTATATTATGTTCCCTGTAAAGTCACATGTTTTTATTTTATGCACTGTAAAAAATGATTTTTTGACCTTGTAAATAAAGGTAGCATGATTTAAGTAAATTTTACAAACAAATCATATTTATTCTTTTTACTTAAAAATGTCACGTTTAATTCAATATGGTACTTGAGGCTTCTTTTTAATTTATTGTGCTTAAATACATAAATAAATTCAACTGGAACTGCCCAAGTAATATTTACTAGTGTTTTGTCATCTAATGAACTAATGCAAAAAAATGACGAACGCAAGTAAAACTTACTCCAAGAAGCCAGGCAATCCAAGCGCATGCGCATTGATTTCTTGGTACAGAATCAGATTCAGAAGTGGCGCGAAGAAGAAAGCAACGGGAACTTTTCTTGAAGACTGATGTGATTTTTACACGGTAAGTTATGAAATATTTGTTTATTTGGTCGATTTAGTTACATTTGCAGAACCTATCTGCAGCTGGTGGTTAGTAAAGCGTTAAGTTAACTGTTAACATAGTTGACAGAGTTGAGTTTTTGCATAACTTAAACATCCGTTATTAGCAAACGCCATCTCTGTGTCGAAAACAATTGTCTTGTATTTTACATATAGGTTGTTAATAAACACGTTAATATACGAAGACGTTTGATGTAGGCTACAGTGAATTTTAAAATGAACTTTGCCCCCGCGTCGAGACAAATAGCGTCCAAGGGTGTGTGTTTATTCATCTGTGTGAATAAATAATCGTGACCTTGCGTGTTATCAGAATTATAAATGAAAGTTTAAATTAAAATTGGACATGATGTAATTTAGGCCTACAGCCTTGGAAGTCGCGGTTAACGTTACGAGCCTGGAATGATAACTCACCCGTGCCCAGCATGAAATTAACTTTAAATGTGACGGAGAACTGTTAATCCCCCATTAATTCACATCAATAGACTGCTTTGTTTTATCGATAAAATAGATAAGCATATGATGATAATCAAGTTAAAGAAGAGATTATATTGAACCTATAACGTTACAATTAACAATGCTGTCTTGAACATTTAATGTTGATGCTTAGGCTAACGTTACTTGAATGCAGTTGTTCCAAAACAAATAACTGTTCATATTTCAAATCGATAAGATCAGTATATTTATTCAAAATTGGTAAAACATATATTTCTGACATTAACATTTCTAATGTTTTCACAGATTGCACTCACTATTCAAGCTCCATGCAAGGTAAGTTGGCAATAAATCTTACACCCTACAACACTGATTAACCTTGCAGTATGACACAGATTTCAATAGATTTTTTGGCTAAAACGTCATTACTAATGTTTTGTGTGTGTGTGTATATATATATATATATATATATATATATACAGTATATCACTTCAAAAGATACATTAAACACAGGTCTAGCAGCACTACATATTCATATGTTTCATATTTTAAAATTGAAACATATGTTAAAATACATAATTAAATCTTAAAGGGATAGTTCACTTTGTAATAAATTTTTGATATGTTTTAGCTTACCTCAAGGCAGGGTATCCAAGATGTAGGTGTCTTTGTTTACACAGTATTTTCAATTTTGCCATTTTTCGGTCAAACCGGTGTTGTCTGTCAGTCATATAATAGAGGTATAGGGGGTCCACCTCAAAGAGCATGCACAAAGAAGTCCAGATTAAACATGATTTAATGACTCGTAAATGTAAGTACACATTGGACACGAAACGAGCGGTTTGTGTGAGATAACGAACAGTATTTATATAGTTTTTACCTCTTGTAACCACAGCCACAAAGCGCCCGCGCCTTCAGATCACTTGGACGTGGCTGTGGTTACAAGAGGTAAAAAAATTATAGAAATACTGTTCATTTTCTCACACAAACCGCTCGTTTCGTGTCTTAGGCCATCAGTGTGTACTTACATTTATGAGTAATTAAATCATGTTTAATTTGGACTTCTCTGTGCATTCTCTTTGACGTGGTGACTTTAAATCCTCCATTATATGACATAAATATCAAAATTGAAAATACTGTGGAAACAAAGACACCTACACCTTGGATGCCCTTGAAGTAAGATAAAACATATCAAAAATTAATTTCAAAGTGAACTATCACTTTAACCTCCACTGTAATGAAGGGTGAATGAAGGGTGGGGATGCTGGCATAAAAATTCGAAGTTTACTAGATTCACTCTGCCAGGTAAATTTATATATTGCACATCTGATGTCCTGCTGCTTGCTGATTTTATAGATATGCAGTTGTATGTAGATGGAAGTGTACACTGTTCATGTTTGCTCTTACTTTTGTTTTTAAAAGCAAATTGAAGATAAGAGAGATGCTGTGATTCGCTGCCTTCTTTCCTACCTTGGAGAGTCATCTGAAGAACTCATTGAAGTCTACCAGGTACATTAATGCATAAATTAAAATTGTTTTGATTTTATAGATGTACAGTCCTGCAAAAGTCTAAGGCACATTACTATTTTCTTGCCAATTTTTTTTTTTTCTTTTATATCTTTGTGCTGTAGTTTGTCAACTCAAAAGGTTCTACATAGCATGAACATGGTTATTTAGCATGTAATCACAGGAGAAGCACTTTAAGTCCTATATAGCACCAAATCTTGGTGCTTCAGTGGTCATTTTAATACCCCCTTTTCAACAGAATGAACCGGGTATTAGTTCAGAGCTAGTGCTTTTGCCGGTTTGGAGAGGGAACGACTGACAAGCATTCGATGAACTGGTTTGCCTTTCCACAGGCTAGAGCCACCACAGAGCCAGGTCTTACGTCACCGTCACCATCTTTCCCAACAACGCTAGCACGACAGCGACAAACACACCAAGCTTGTTCAGTTATGAAAGCATTTTAAAGGCTATGCCACTTTAGATTTTTTACACAAGTGCCTTAACCTTGTTACAGTACTGTAGCTTCGTAGGTAGTTTAGGTGTCTTGCAGACAGTTCCTCTGTACTTTGTCTGTCTTGATCCCCCCCCCCCCCCCCCCCCTTTCCTTTTCATGTAATGACAGATTTAATGATGGTGAGACCAAATCTGTATGGGGCACTTATCACATAAATTAAAGAGAACATGCAACTTGGTGTACATTATTGTAATCATTTTGCTCTTATTTGTGTTTTTTGACAGGATGTAAGCAGAGACATGATTAAAGATAACATCACCAATCATGTTATGAAGATCATTGTACTGGGCAACACTGCAGGCCAACATCGCTGATGTCATCGTCGTCATTGAGGGAACTGAGGTGCTGTTGGGATGTAAGAATCTCACAAATGCGTGCCTTCTGCTCATGGGCTTCATTTACGCCCTGAACTTAAGCTATCCACCAAAGCTGAGAAACACATTTAAAGTCTTTCAAAAAATATTTCTTGGGCTGGATGCTTTAAAGTTTTCTCCAAAAGTTAGCTCTTTGCATAGAAAACAGAAGCAGAGTTTTATTTCAATGCTGTATGTGAGATCAGTTAAGCATCTTGCATAAAATGTTTGGTCTGTTATGACCTACACAAAGACATTAAAACATCTGTGATGGTTTAAAGATGCTGAACAATTTTGGTCGTATTTTTTGGCCAATAGCAGATAATCTTGATGTGTCCATTTCTTTTTTGTGCACTTGTTTTTCGAGAATTTAATTAAAATAAAACTGTAAAACAGAAAAAAATGTCTTGTTTTTTTTTATTATTATTATTGAAAATATAATTTGTATTACTAATGGTAAGTAATGTTTACGTAATATTTAAAGTAAAGGTTACTCAAGATAAATAAAAAAAATATAACTAGGACTCTCATGTCAATTTCAAAAAAAAAAACTCAATACATTTATAAGCTTTACTTAAGTAAAATTTACAGACAAAGAGTCAATAAAACTTATTTGGAAAACCCAAGTAAATTTAACTTAAACATTTCTAATTAAGGCTGCTAGTAAATGTTTGTAAATTTTACTAGCCTTTTCTGAGTGAGATTTGTTAGCAAGGTTTTTTCAAGTAAATTCTACTCCAAATTTTTTACAGTGTGTAATTACTTGAACTGATTGATGTATATAAATTATTTCTTATGATTATGTTAAGCACATTGGGCTACCTGTGTATGAAATGGGCTATGTCAATAACAGCCCATTCTCACCCCCAAGGCGTCACCTAACTGACGCCTTGGGAAGCATTTGACCATGCTTCAATATCTGACGCTTTAGGCGCCCTTTAGCGTCAGGTAGATGACGCCCTAGGATTGCGTGTACCCTACCCCCACCCCACTTCTAAACCTAACCGCGTCCTCTAACTGACGCTTTCCTTTAGCATCAGTTAGATGACGCCGTAGGATCGCGTCATGTGGGTGACGCTAAAGGGCGCCTAAAACGTCAAATATTGAAGCATGGTCAAAGATGACGCCTTGGGGTGAGAATGCGTTGTCAATAAACCTGAACCTGAACCTAAACAGGTTTGTCATTTCAAACAAACTACAACTTGACACAACGAACAAACGGATATTTGATAGAATTGAAAGTTTGCAAATGCAGAGAAGCGACCAAGTAAAAAGCAATGAAAAAAAAAAAAAGCTTGTAATTTAGACCGTTACATTGACTTACCAACGCATTGTCATCCTAGGGCGTCATATACTGTATAGTGGCGCATATTTATGAAAAAATATTGATTTTAGATAATAAAATACTCTAAAAACTACATATTGTCCATTTAAAGTAGCAATATTAGGTGTTTTTTGTGAGTAGCACAATATGGAACAATAGTATTTTTCTATTTTCCATATGAAACCTTTACTTTACACCACAAATGCATTATCTCTAAAGACCAAAAAGGCCAAGAAGCTCTTTAACACATAAGTGTCGCAATGCCTCAAAACTCAAGTGTTTTGTTCATGTATTTAAAGTCTTTTCCCGAAGAATTCCCTTTAACTGTTCTGAAGGCCAACACACACCAAACACAGCTTTCAGAGGGATATTTCACAAGGCCAATGCTTTTCGAATCCGAATCCAAAGAAATGCTCACAAATAGCAACCCTGCCTTTTAAGAGCAATTTCACCCGAGCAGCAGAACCGACCTCCGGTTCCCTCAACCAATCCGTCCAGAAGCTTGCCGTGAATTCACAGTTAGCTGGGAAAAAGCTAATCGAAACCACACTGCACCATTCATTTGTCAATTATATTCTTTTTCTTTTCCAAGGGCCATTCTGAGTTTTTTTTGCCAGATCATTTCTCCTTACAAAAGATGGATGAGATGTGCTAGATCAGTCAGATAAGTGAGCAAATCCCCCTGAACAAGACTAATGTCCCGTAAGAAGCAGACGTGTAAGGAGACAAAGAGCCAGACGGGAATGGGTCAAACACCAGCAACAAACAAATCAATTCCCTCTCATGTGTTTCCAGACTTTAGACAGAAGATCCAGACTCTCATCCCTTTCTTTCTCGAGCTGGAAGTGTTCTCACTCTTACAAATGATTCATCTTTTTATTTTCATTACTTATTACTTTTCAATTGGTGCATGAAGAATGATCTTACAGTTCCAGTTGTTGTGCAATTTCTACACAGGGAAAATATTAAGATTTAAAAGTGGTAAAATGCAGATGACATTCTTATTGGCATATTAACTAGGAAATGCGTGTGATTATTTCAGAAGAAAAAGAAGAAAGAAAAACAGAAGAAAAACAACAGCATTGATGTAATGCCGGGACGCGAAAACAGAGGAGCAATATTCCTGCATACTCCATTCTGATATATTGTTTATGCACGACAAATTACTCAAGAAGTCATTTCAACAGAATTACCAAACTCATTTCGCAAGTAGCTAAATATCACAAACTTTATATATAGAACATATATAAACCTATGCATTTGTAAAGTCATGGTGGTTGTACCATGGTGCTTTAAAGAGTGTTCACACACTGTTAGTGTTTTCAATCTCCTTGTTGGAAAATGTATTTCCCTGAAATATCCTTCAGATTAATTCACATTATCGCAGACAGCCGATAGCGAGGTCTCTGGTTAGGTTTCAACAAGATTGTAGGTAAATATCAACTTCCTCATCTTTTCCCGTCACGAACATCCATAGAACTATACATACATTACAGGCCAGTCCATTTTCAATCTCAAAAGACAAAAAACAAAATACAAGTTTGTGATCCTGCAGTATTTCAGTTTTCAAAAACTGCAGGACACTCTACGTGAAAAACAGAATAAACATAAACACAGATATTAAAAGACCAAATTCAGTTTCACATTATTGATGATGCGTATTATATACAGACGAGCAGATGAGCCCAGAATATGAACGTAATGCTCTGAATGTCTATGCATAAACGTTTTGCATTTACACTGGGTTCTATGGAAGCTTGTTTCCGCCACTGAATTAAAAATTTTTTTAATTCATTTTATCTCACAATTGTAAAATATATAGTCAGAATTTTGAGAAATAAAGTCGCAATTGCGAGATATAAAGTGGCAATTCTGAGAAATAGTCGCAATTGCGAGATATAAAGTCGCAATTTCGAGAAATGAAGTCGCAATTCTGAGAAATAAAGTCGCAATTGCAAGATATAAAGTCACAATTCTGAGAAACAAAGTCACAATTGAGACTTTTATCTCACAATTCTGACTTTTTTTCTCACAGTTGCGAGTTTATATCTCGCAATTCTGACTTTATAACACATAATTGCGATATCTCGAAATTGCGACTATTTCTCAGAATTGCCACCTTATATCTCGCAATTGCGACTTTATTTCTCAAAATTGCGACTCCACAATTGTGAGATAAAAAGTCACAATTATCTCAGAATTGTGAGATAAACTCACAATTGTGAGTTATCAGGCCAATTCTAAGATACATTTTTCCCTCAGAATAGTTTATATCTTTACAACACGCAATTTTGACTTTATATCATGCATTTCCGACTTTATATCACAAAATTCTGACTTTATATCTCACAATTCTGAGAAATAAAGTCAGAATTGTGAGATGTAAACTCACAATTGTGAAAAAAAGTCAGTATTGTGACATAAAAAGTCGCAATTACTTGTGTATTAAGTATTAATGTAATGCAGTAATGCAAAAGTAATGCATTTACCATTATTAAGTGGCAGAAACAAGCTTCCATATCTGCTCACCTGTATATAAGCTGCATATAAAAATATGAATTGTTCACATGTATTTATGTTTTGCTTCAGTGAGACGCCTGTACAAAAGACTCAGTCTGTATTATTATCCCATTCAGAGTGAATCGTGAACCGGATGCCAAGTGTTTGGGTCATTTGTTTGACCGATCCATTGAAAAGAATCGACCCGGCTTCTGTTCGGTCCATGTACCTTTGAATAATTTGAATGAAGAAATGAATGAAGAAATTTTATTTTCATCATATCAAAAAATAAACCAAACAAAACATCAGAAAAAAGGACTAATAAGTTGAATAAGCAAAACTTTCAGTTAATAATTAGTAATATTTAGCAACATAAACATGTATGAAAGGGAGTAGGAAGAAATACAGTATACACTAATTTAATCCCCATATCCATACTTAGTAAATAATTATATTAGGTAATACTTTATTTCGACAGTCCACTTTAGACATTCTACTGATTATCAGTAATTACATGTCAACTTATTCTCCTACCCGAACCCGAACCCTAACCCTAACCTACCAGTCTACTAATACTTTACTGAGGGTTCGTGGTCATGTACAGTAGTTGGAAAATGCACTTATAGTTAGTAGAATGTCTAAAATGAAATAAAGTGTTACCTTATATTATTTTATTTACCACATATTTTTATTTTATTTAAATTTATCACATTTATCTTATACTTATATATAAAAAGTACACACATCATACACATACGTCAATGAACATTGCAGCTGTTTATAGGCCTCATTTTCTTTTATAATTTTTTTTAAAACCATTGCTTTGTACCTTTTTATTTAACTGGAATATATTTGGACATTGCTTTAGTTCTGTGCACAGACCATTCCAACATTTCACACCACTAACTTTTTATAGTACTTTTTATAGTGACTTTTTATACTGTATAAATTTGTTTTTGACTTCTAAACGGAAAAACGAAGAAACCGCTCATTTATCACATATTGAACCCTTCTCATGAACATAAACAAATCTGAAGTCAAAAACGAAAAAACAAATTATCCGACCCGGTCCTATTCATCAGCTCCGATTCTAAACAGCTGGAAATACGGGACAAACGACTCAGATGCTGAAACTGCCACAATGTTGTGTAGATGATCAAACTCGAACATGATGATGAAGAGAGAATGCAGTCTTTAATAAATCTGAACAGAGAGAGCTATACACACCTGTAACAAAGACGATACCCGGCAATGAAACACAAACAGAACTGAACTTAAGTAG